AACAGCAGCTGAGGCTAGAGCTCAACGATAGACCTGATTCACTCTCATTCTGTCATTCTAGTATTGTGCGAGTCATAGCTCTAAAAGTGTCAGTAGAGTCACACTTGTGGAAGCCAGAGAAGCTGTGAATCAGAACAAGCATCTTTCATTTTCTTTTGGTCCCAGAAGTTTAATTTTGAATTACCACTAGATAAGGCACTGACTTTTATGTGCTTCCACAAAACAAAGTTGTGTAGCATCTGATCTCGTGGCGCTTTCTGGGCAAGAACACTCTACGGGTATTTTAAGCAAAATATCAAACACAAAAGTCAAATTAATTAATAATACTTTAACAATTTTATTGCGTGTATCTAGAAGTTACTTATAAAATAAGAAACTTCCCCAAATCTTTGCAATAAAGAGTTTCCCCCCTCCATTTTATCAATGGGATAAATAATATAGAGGAAAAAGTCAGGAGATTTTGTCTAAGGTAACAGAGTATGAATACCAGATACGAAAGAGGAGGGGAAGGGAAGAACCTTTCAACTTGCAGCTAACAACTGCGTTTTTGTGTTCCTATTTGGAAAAAAAAAGTGCATTTTTCCGATCTTGCAGCCTCTTCTAACTAGAACAAAAAAATCTAAATAACAGTGAGGCTTGTAAACGCAGCATCAGTGGAACCAACTTGATTAAAGTTCATTGCATTTTATGCTTCAAGAGAATGTCAAAATATTAAAAAATCCATTTTGACGTTGTTTTGGTTTCACTTTCGCGATGCGTGTCCCAGAGGTTGTTTCAATGTCATTCTGACCTTGTGTGGCAAAGGTAAGAGTAAGAGTAATTAGAAATTCAGAAATTTGTAATACCTCCTGGAAAGTGCTGCACTCCAACTTGCATCGGAGTCAGTAGAGTTACAAAGTGCTGAGACCTTTTTAGTGTAAAGGAAAGAAGAGGGTTAATTCCTTTGATCTACATTCTTGCTTCTGAATTTTCTCAAAGATCTTAAGTATTTATAGAATACTTTCAGACTGAAATAGACTTCAGGAAATTAAAAAATGTTAACAAAATCATTATATTTCACAAAAATTCTTTTCTTTTGTGTGAAGGTCAATATATACTAAAGTAACACAAGCAAATATTCGCTTAAATGAAGAAGTTTTTCCCACTTCCTTCAAATACTTTCTTTCCCCCAGCTATACATTTCCTGTTTTATTTATACTTTTCAGTAACTTTCACCAGCAGAAGGTGAGAAAAGCTTCTAGGACTGACGGGTTTCCATCTATACCCGTCACAGCTAAGCTCAGACAGGAGTGTGTAAAAGCTTGTGCTGTGCCCATATTGCAGCTTTTGTCTGCAGTTTGTCACTGGAGCTGCAATAATGCTAAATATCTGCTGGGGCTGTACTTTGTCAGGCTTTTGAAGCTGGCATTAGGTCAACACTGCTACAGAGGAAGTGATCCTGGCCTTGTCCTAGTCTCTTGGTGTTACCTCCATGCACTGCTCTCTCCTGTGCTGGCGGAAGCATTTGCGCAGCCTCATACTGAACTCTTCGGGGGCCTGATCTGCAGCAAACCTTGGCAGAAAGGTGCCTGGGGATAGAAATGAGCCGAGGAGGGGACAGGAGAAGCAGAGCTGTTTCTTCTGGTGGCACTGCTGCCGTCTCTGACTTAGTGTCCTTTGAACTATAGATTGATCTGATGCTCTGCCAAGACATTGCCTTTCTATAGGGTCGCTTTGCTTTGGCATAATGGAGGAAGGCAGGAACAGGATGAGCCATTGTGGCTGTTGGAGGTAACCGCAGCCTGAATGGTGGGCCAGAAGGAAAAAATGGCTCAGTAGCATTCACAAGGCACCAGGCAGTGGCTTAAGGAACTTGTAGTCTGTAAGGATCCAGTCCTGCTGTGTTTCAGTTCAATGGCAAAAGTGCCATGGACCTCCTTGGGTAATTTTCAGACAATGCTAGTGAGACTTAGTGCCAATCTTATGAAAAAAGTGACCGAAATTGGAAAGGTTTGTGATTTCTAGAACTTCACAAGAAATTAGTGGGCTTTTCTGGTACAGTGAAAATATGTAAGGTGATAGTATAATAAATGCTGTGAGCAGTGGTGGTATGTGTGTCTGTAGCACTCCGTGGGATGTGAAGTGCTGAAACCTCTAGCTCAGTAGCCCAGGAGAAAAAGAACCGAGGAAATAGGTCTCTGCAGGAAACACTTGAGCGACCGAGCTTGCAAGGCTTAGTATTATGTTCTTTTATGAGTGTTACAAGTGAGCCTCTTAGAGAAAGGTAGTTATGGTATATGTGTGCTTTGTGAGGAACAACAGTCCAAATGCTGTATGTTTTTTGCTTAGCAGAACATTAAATTAATCTCCCTCTCCACCCACAACTTTCTGGTAGGGAGACGTGAGAGAGAAGGGAAGTGTCAGAAACCTTTGTTGTTCTAATGTACAAGAATTCAGTTGGCAGGAATGGGGGAGTTGCCCTGATTCGGTCTGAACTTCCGTCGTCATAAGTAGCAGGAATCAGCCTTGTGGGTTGGGAAGCGATTGCAATATTCAGAACGCGGAGGAGCAAAGCTTGCTTTAAGGCTACACTTGTGCTGGCTCTTAACATTTAAAGTACAATGCTTGCTTTTGCTTTTTGGCTTTCAAGGATAAGAGAAAACCTACGTAGTTACGTTATTTGAATGTATACAGTAAGAACTGCATTTAGGCTATAGTTTCTTTTAGTAGTCGTTTTACTGAACGTCATGGAATTCATTTTGCATATGTTTTAATAAATATGATAAAAATCTAATAGTGCAAAAAAAATCACCCGACCTATGCAGCAATATTAGCTTCAGTTGCTTAATGTGGTATCATTAGATATGTATTTTAAAGCCATAAATACAAATATGTTAAGAGGTTGCTACTGTTTAGCACTGGGGCAAGCCTTCCTTTCTTCATATTCTGCCACATGCTAGACTAAAAAAGCTTCTTCTCAACTTTTTGCAGTCAGAGGTATGTGTGTGTGCACACAATTTATGTAGGCACATCATACTTTGCAGGCATGCTGTCCCCTTCCCATCTAGTATTTCAGTTTCTGTGCTATTGTCTGTGAACTTCCATGTGCACAAAAAGAATGAAAAAAGATACACTTAACAGAAATACATCAGCTGTGTATAACCGTAAGGAATAAAAACTTACCGTTCATGCTGTCTTAGAAAGTGCTGACGACTGATCTATGTGATTAGGTATGCAAATAGTTCTTCCTTCTCAAACAAGGGGAACACTGATTTTCCTCACAAAATACTATTTCAGAACTTTCAACCACTCTGAGTAGTAATTATGGTCACTTAATACTCAGCAGAGATTAAAAAACAAGATTAGAGCTGGCTGGAATGTTTTCAACTTGCAAAAAAATTCACTGACATGTACAGTGTTACACGTCATGAAGAATATGGCCATCCTCACCGCATAATTTTGGCTAAAAATGTTTTTTGATCAGGAGCATGGCTCTACTGCCATCCTTGGATTCTGCAACTCAGCAGTAAGAGTGCTCCTCTAGGATAAGAAGAATCTGGTTACTGCTGCTTTACCCGCATAATGGGATTTGAAACCACATTTCTCATTAGCCTTTCCGAACTACCAGGCTGCATAGAGTATTTTCTTTTGGCAGCTTGTGAATGTCTCCTTCCTTCAGTTCCTTTGCTTTTCTCATAGTCACACTTCTGAATTTGACCACAAAATATGTCTGTGTTGCTTACATGAATGCAGAATTAAATGGAGTTACTTCAGACATGAATTTGGACTGCTGTGTGCAGCCCTTGGACCTCCTCCCATTAAATGTCTCCTGTGAAGTGCTAAGTAGTTTAGAATCCCACTGGGAATTGTAAGCTTGAACTGCCTGTGAGGATGGACAAACGAAAGACCAGAAAGCTGATTGTTTATTACATAATTAAAATGACTGTGAACTGCCTAGAGATGAGTAAAGTGATAAATATTATACCGTGCTAAGCCTGGTGTTACTCAGATACCTGAGTATTATTTATGATACTTGCAACATGGGAAAACAGCAGAATGCTTGAGGGCACTGGCAGTCTCTGTTGCTGTCACCTGCCTGATGTACTGCAAAAAATACCATGGGATTGTGAAAAATAGATTGGCAATTCAGTTACAATAGAGTGCCCTTTTATATTTTCCCTTGGGTGGAATAGGGATAATAGCAAAAGGAAGATGCATGGTTTCTGTGGCTGGAATTTATAAGATAAAGTATCCTATTCCATTTAATGTGAAAGGGATTTAGGTGTCTAGTTTCTTTGGTTGTTTTTTTGAAAATTCTAGCTCATATTTCATTAATTTTCCTTTATGAATGAGGTTACAAACCTCAAAGTTTAGGGAAGACTTGTTCGTCAGAACCATTTGTGTTTCTATTAAGTCAGTGGTCGGTATAACTTACAAACCATCCGTAATCAACAAATATTTCGCTCTACTTGTGCTCGTGGTGTTCTGATTAGCTTTGGTATCAGCTAATCCCAGAGGAAAGGAGAAGAGTCCAGTGTTCAGGACAGCCATATCAGCCTGAAATAATCCTGATTCACTAGACACATCCTGTGTAAATTTGGCTAAGTCCTGTGATTTCTCTTGTGATGATAATACCTCACTGGGGCTAGATGAGATTACAGTAAATAAAAGGTAGATAAGCACTCGGATTTTGAAATAATGGGATCCATGGTGATACTCAAAATAGCCAGCAGAAATGTGAAGCCATCCAAAAGGAAGGAACATCTTATGGTTATTTACTTACTGCAAAATACAGTTTGTTTTGATGTCTTTGTTGCTATGAGAAAAATGTTATTGGAGAAGCTTTGTCATGCAGTGCCTTGGCTCAACTAGCAAAGTCCCAAGTATCTGACTTATGTAGACAGCCAGCCAAGAGATGTAATAGTATTCCAACTACTAATCTTCTTCCTATACCAGGGTAAGGTGGGAATGTGTATCTTCAGAACTGATATTTGTAACTGATATGGCCCTTGTGCTTACAGAATGGACTCAATGCTCTGCACCTGGCTGCTAAAGAAGGGCATGTGGGACTGGTACAAGAATTATTGGAAAGAGGGTCAGCTGTGGATTCTGCCACTAAGGTAATTTATGCATGTCTCTAAGTTCATTCACAAAAGAAAAAGTGAAATAAATGAGAGAAACGTAGAAAAAAATAGAAGTACAAAATAAGATAGTAAGATAAATGCCCCATTGCTATTTAAAATTTTACTTCTGTTACGCTCTGTGAGTCTATGTTATTTGCTGAGGCTTATCAGTAGTAAATTAAGAGGGAAAGATTATTGTTTATGCAATCTGTTCACAGGGAAAGTATTAAAAAGCTTTAGCAATGCCAAATATTTCATTATTTCCAATGACAATTCACCATTGCAGAGAATGAATATAGCTCAAAATAGTAGACCTTTTCAAATCTGCAAAAATCGAAAGTAATTGTATCATACCTGAAGCCCTTTCACTCAGGGACATAATTGAAAAAGCCTTCAAGGATAACACATTTTGCCTTCCACACACAGGCACGCAACAAGTATGTCCGAAACGTTCAATTGGTATGTTACTTGTCCATCGGTGGTAAATTCTTTGTGATGGGCTAGCTTTGTTGGCTTGACTGATGTGGTGATTGACTCCTAGTGCCTTCACCCAGCCCAGGGTGGGACTGGGAAAATGGAGGTTGTGGTCAGCCGCAGCAGTTCATCCTTTTAGTTCTGGCATTGGTGGCTGCTGCTCTGTTCTGTAGGCAGACTGGCGGGGCCCAGCCCTTGCATTCAGTTCCCGACCCTCTCTTCCTGCAGCTGTCTGTTCTGTGAGGTCTGATGCCTGCCTGGGATGTCCCTCAATGTTAATGCTTGATCCTCAGCTCAAAGAGGTTCTTAGGTTCTTGCTCCACTTGTGCATTCTATCACTGATGAGAAGATGAGGTTCCCTCTTTTAAAAATGTTTTTAATTCACCTCGCAGTGAAGCTGTTGGTAGAACCACCAGCTTCCAGGTGGGACTGTGGAGTTTTTATTTTGTTTTTATGAGTCTTTAGGCACCTGGCCTTGATTGTTTAATAAAGCCCTTTTAGATAGTGTTCCTGGGGTTGAGAGACTGGCCTGAAAAAATGGAAGCCTCTTACAAAAGCAGTGATCTCACTGCTGCTATTTGTGAGAGATTTAATGGAGCGCTTCATCTACATTTTTCTAACCTATTTGCAACCCGTCCAAAGGTCAAGAAGGACTCTCTTCAGTGTCATGCTTCTTCTTGTACTAATAAAAAATGGCCACTTGTGAATATAAGCAGTTCCCCCTGCTTTTTCTGCATATGTCTCTTCTAGTTCTGTTTGTAGATGAGTAATTAAGACCTTTCAAAAACATGCATTTTAATTTCACGCCAATTAGAGAATAGGAAACATTTTGTTTTTCTTCCACATTTAAAGAGTTGTTTTGCTCCTCAGTACTCAGGTTTTTCTTTTGAGTCTTGTACGAGGAAACTTCACTTTACAGGTGATTCACAACTTGAATTTTAGGACTCCCAGATTCCTGCTACCTTCTTACAGGGTATGACATCTGGAGCTGAAGAAAAAACTATTGGCTTATTTTAAACTTTACGTAGAACTGTGGTTCCATGCCCCAATCAAATTCCAAAATCTCGCTCAAAAGTTACGTTGGGATGTTAGCGTTACACGACAGCTCAAGGAACCTTCATTGCTGCAGTTATCAGTTCTATCCCGTAGGATGTTTATGGAACATCATGGAACCGTAAGGTAAACCTGTACTCAAAAAACGAAGGCCTATATGCTTGAGCATTATAAAGAACTGCTGGTTGAAGAGATTCATAAAGAAAAATAATGATTCTCATTGTTTTCTCCTCCCATAACAGAAAGGGAATACAGCCCTGCACATTGCATCCTTAGCAGGACAGGCTGAAGTTGTCAAAGTTTTGGTTAAGGAAGGAGCCAATATCAATGCACAATCTCAGGTATGATGCTATTTTCACTTCTCTCTTTTAAGAATTGTTTGGTGAAGTTTTATATAATAGATCTGAGAAGTTAGGCAGTAATTCCAAACTTTTTATTTAATGCCAACCCTGACAGATCAGTCAAAATGAGGCTTAGATGACGTTTACAGGTATGTAAGTAAAGTAAAAATAAATGACAAACTGAAGCCATTATGTACTCGTCGTGTGATATATAAGCTTGCGTTGTTATTGATTGAAATCTCTAAGAACACCTCTTCCTAGTATGCTTTAATAAATTGGTAGTTTCAAAAATTCTGCTAAGTGTAGAAATGTTGAAGTTGATGAGTGTTAAGAAAATTTATCAAAATTTTGAATTATAACATTCCTTTTCATGGTTATTTGTTAGTTTTAAATTTTGCAGACAACTTTAGGCTTCTGAAATCATTCTTTATGTAATCAGAAGGAATTTGCATCAAAGGGTGGAACGTACATTTGATCTTGAGGAATTCACCTTGTCCTGACAGGCAAACCAACTGTAAAAAGAGCTCCTTTATTTCCATTGTCAAGAAGCTTGGCTGTTCTTCCAGAACGTACCAGAGAACTTGGTGGTGATGTTGTTGCAGAGATTGACTGATGGCCAGTGCTGGAAGAGAGTCTTCTCTCCCCAGTTTGAGCAAGGCTGTAGTGGCAGCTGTCTCCCTGTCATGATTTCAGACCTATAAACAGCATGCGTTAGATTCGCAGTGAAAAACAGACTGCAAACCCGCTAGACAATGGTTTGTTTTTGGAGCTAACTGGCCCTCTCTCCTCTGCCCTCCCAAGTAGACACACCTTTTAGCACCATATAGCAATTTAGCACGTTATCACTGCATATATTGGAGATAGGTGTTATTTCCTCTCGGATTAGAAACAATTTATCAGATAAATTATTTGGTTACTATTTGTAAATGTTACATTCTTAACTGTGGCAACTGTCTGTTGGTATAGATGAGGTAGATACAGCTGATGGTGTAGATGAGGATCTACTATATGATAAAGAAGCTGCTGTCTTTATTCAGACAAGATCTTTCTGAAGCAGGAAGACAGCACAAGCTGTCAGCTTGTGACGTTCTCAGAAGTAAATCTTCAAGCTAACTAACACTGGTCATATTGAATCTGGGTATATCATTTGATGACCACAAATACCATTTGTACAGTAATAGTATGAACTAAGAGAATGAGAAAAACAAGCTATGCTTCAGGGGTAGATTAGTTTCAGATTAAATTTTCTTAGCGCTTACTGCCTGTGGGCAATATAATGGGCTTTTTGCTCATTGTTTCTGGGATACACGAGTAGAACAAGAAAAGAGTGATCTGATTAAACAGTGCAGCAAGGAGCTACCTTGACGGAAGAGAATTTCAGGAAGTATAGCTGGGCCTATGTGAGGTGCTTTTCTCAGCCTTGTTCTGTAGAGTATTCCCTAGTCACTGTGAACACAGCCAAGCTTGTGAGAGATGTTAAGCTAGTCAGATCTGGGATGGACACGTCTTCCTTGCCTACGCCTGGGAGGCTGAGGTTTTTTGCTGCTTGATGCCACGAATACATGGTGGACAATGTAAACTAAATAGAAGGCTGCAAATATATGATGGACGAGGTAAAGTAAATAGAGGGCGCTAGATGAACCAATAGGCTACAAAATGAACAGGTGTATCTGTACCTTCTCTATATTTTAAGACAAGAGAGATAAATTAGAAAGATCTTTAAGCTGCCTTGAGTCCAAAATTTCTGTTATTATTTTGCTTTCTGTCTGAAAGCCTGTGCTAAAGAGCCTCTCTCAGAACAACTGACAGTCAGTTACTCCCCATGCTCTACTTCCATTTAATTTAAGCTAAGGAATGCTGTAATTCCATTGCTCAAAAATTTAGCAAACTCCTTTCATAATGTCCTAATTGGATAATTTCTGCATACGTTTTCCAGCTTCTTCATGCGTATAAGAAGATAAACTGATGCCTTTAACATTAGGGTTTTGACAGTGCTAAGAGAAATCATCATAAAAATATTTCTTTTGTGAAGTGTTATCCCTCAAAAAGTCTTCATGAAGACCTTTCCTTATGTTGGAAAAGAAAGAATGTTTTCTAAGTACGGAAAAAAGTCTTGTCAAAATCAGAAATTGGTTTCACTGTTATTATTTTATCTGCTATTCTAGTTTTAAACACATTTAGCATTAGCACTGAATGTTCTGTGCAGGCCTATTAACAGGCGTTTGCTCCTTGAATTGTCATCCAAGAGGAATTGACTCAGCAGATAACAGCACGTAGATTCAGAAGATGACAATGGGCAACCTGGCATTAGCTCTTACATCCTTTCCACAAAACCTATATTTACGTGGTAGGAGTTAAAACATTCAGAATAACGGGGGAGAGATGCAGTGTTACCAAGATACTCAACAAAACATCTGCAAGTGAGGATGATTTTAGATATGAGAGAATGTAATCTTAAGAGAAACCCCAAAAGACAGATGTAGACTTGACGTTAATCAAAAAAGACAAAGTGTAGGACTTTGATTAGTGTTTATAAATCAATTATATCTTAATAAATAAAGGATCGTGGCATTTAAAGTAAGTCATTCATTCTGTTTTATGTAACACAGGTTCTTTGCCCACTGCCTTAAAATTGTAGAGTCCCTGGTAGTGCATTACCATCTCTGGTAGTCCCTTATTTTTTTCTTCTCCTAGGAGAAGTATGTGCTGAGGGATCATGTCTATGCAGTTATATGCCAAGCCATAGCGAAGACAGGCTGTCTGCTGTGTGTGTGCAGGCATTTCATGATGTCCTGCAACACTGCTTTACTCAGGGTAGTGCAATTTAAATGGGAGCCAGTCCCCCAGCTGCTTCTAGCCCTAAACACTTTTGGAAATGTCCCTTAGCAGCACCGCACCTGCACACTTTGGCAAAAAAGGTCTTCCATGGCTGGTTGTGTAATTTCTAACTCAGCCCCAGCTTACTGTCCCATTTCTTGCCTGCCTGTGTTAATCCCTTCTAGAGGGGCCTATTTGCTTCGTCCAGGCCGCCTTGGTCTAGGCTCAGGCACCAGCTCAGACCAGCAGACACCATGTAGGTTTTGATGAAACTCCTAGTTCAGATTTTTGCCATGTTTCTGAATGAATATAACGCACATTGCTGGCACTTCAGTTCTTGTTGTCTAACCAGTTCACCTGGTTAGCTGCTGGTGGATGTTGTAAATAGCTATAGAGGGCCTGCACAAGCAAAATATCGTCTGATGGAGGGAATTTTTTCCCACTACTGCCCGCTGGTTGCATCCAGACAGGAAGAATTTAGATTATCGTGATATATCTGTCCTGGATTTGTGCCAGAAGTCCCATTGACTTGTACTGGAGGGCAAGTCTTCAGTGCAGCTTGGGGCCTTTCGACTGTTTCTTTCTGGCCTTCTGCCTTTTTCTTGAAGAGAGAGAGAGAACAGCTGCTTGAGCAGATAGCCACATAGTTCCTCCAATTCTTGCCACAGAGATCTGCGCAGCAGCTGCTGTGGCCATGCAGGAACAACAGGCTAAGGTGGACTGTGGGAGCCTTCTCAAGCTCCCTTTTCCAACAGACAGTTTCTATATCAAGCCTTCCTGGCCTGGTCTTCCTGTCTCTACTCTCACCTGGGAGCAGTCTGGCTTTCTGTGACAACAGGCTGGAGTCAAAGGCTCTTGCTGCTGCTGGCGAGGGATAATTTCAGATGGAAGGTGGGCTCTTGCTAGGGACCATTCTGTCATCTCCTTTTTTGGACAGAACATTGTCAATAACAAAACAGTAAGCAGTAGTGCTCGGAGAAGGAAATGAACTAACTAGATCTTTCTTCTTTCTAGTAAGCATTGAACGAGCTTGGGTAATATCTCTGTTCAGCATTTTAAATACTATTTGTGTGTGTTCGCATGTTTTCATGTAGCTACGGTATGAATTTGAATATGACTGAACAGATGTTGCCTAGATAATGGGTAGAAAGGATGTATTGTGTAGATCAAGGCTCTGAACAGACTCCTGAAAGCTCGATTCTGATTTACCAGAAACTTTCCATGAGACTATGGAAAAGTTATTTAAACTCTATGCCCCATGAATAGAATGAGGGTAATAAATGCTGCCTTTCTACTCAGGATGGCATTGATATGCTCAAGGATCACGTGCATAATAGGCAATAAATAAGTAAGGAAGAAAAACAGGAAAAAATAGAAACTTCAAAGTTAATAAAGAATAGATACTTGATTTGTGATAAAAGATAAAGATTAAAAACAAGCATACTTTACAACTGGTGAGAAAAGAAAAATATAAAGTTATAGAGAGAAAGAAAAAGAGAATAACTGAAGAGAATGTGCTTGAATACTTGATACTAAATTTTCTTTCAGGAAATATATCACAGATGCAAAGACAAAGTGAATAAATCTTACTAGGAAAGGAGTTAGTTAAGAAATTTAGAAATGGACAAAAATACAAAATTGAAGGTAAACTTGGAGAAAAAAGCAAGGAATTATGCCTGAAATGCTCACTTTCCCTTTCTTATATTTTAATCTCGATTCTATTTTTAAAAAAAGATGTTACATTGTCACTCTTAAATCTTTAAGAAACAGTTGCTGATATTGAGGGTGTATTACATCCTTTCCTTGGTATCTCTGTTATTTCACACTTTATTTTTTTCAGGCCCCTGCTAAATGCCGTTCAGTGGTAGTGATCTAATGCCAGTGAAGTTACTCAAGTCGCTCCATAGCTTCCTCTTTAAAGAACTTGGTACATGCCAAGGTCATTCTCATTTCAGGTGATAAGAATTTGCCATAGTGATAAAATTTCTTCACTGATTATAGACTGATAGGTAAAAGAACACTCTCAATTCCAATTTGTTCAACTTATTGTTTTCCTTTTCTTTTTCAGCTAAATTACATAAAACATTGCTCTTTATCAAAACTTGCCAAAAACAGCATCTGAAACACCATGCTGATTTCCAGTTCCTTAGACCAATGAAATAACAGAATTATCTCAGCAAATG